CAAGCTGTGATCCTCAATCTATCCTTTCGACTTGTTGTGAAACATCTATCGCTAATATCTCTGTAAGCCCTTTCGAATGCTCAAGAAGTTCCAGTTCAACTCCGCTTACAGATTGTGAAGCTATGCTGCAATCCGCACCAATGTCCCTTGGCCGCTCGTCGATATTCTTCTTATCTTTGTTGGTAGGTCCCCAGTTATCATAGAAATCCTAAACAACCCCCAATTTGCCAACTCCCAATACCTCTTTAAACTGTTGGCAGATATCCTCTATCTGTACAATCAGATCAACACAACCACGCATGCATTCAGTATACTCAACCTTCTAGACAACTCTAAATTTCAACCACAGAAGTATCTCCCATTTCATCAACAATCAAGAGTACCAGCCTTTCCTCTCTTACGGAAAAATCCAATTCACCAATACAATACTGACTTTCAGCAATGATTGCCTCAGTCTTTCCAAAATCCTATGAAGAAAAAAAATCCCAATTCTCTATCTTTTCGAAGCATGAAGCTAGCTCTCCGACCCTTAAAACCCTGATTCTCGAAGAAAAAAAGTCCATTTCTTAACCTACCCTCACCTTTTATCCTGAGAAGATCATATTCTTCCGCCTTGGACTCCCCAAATTGGAAAAGTTGACGGAGTTTTCTTTCCTACTTTTGCTTTTAAGAGATCCTTTTATCGAAAGGATGTTCCCGGAACGGTACAAAGAACGGAACAACGTGAAACAAAATTGAAGCCCGTAATCGAACCACATTGGGTTGCTCAACCAAGTCAGGTCTCATATTGGATAAGAAGCCCGTAATAGGACCTGGATTAGAGGTCTTCTGAATTGGATCCAATTGGCTCTTCGAACCAAGCTCATCCGTCATTGAATTGATCCTTTCACTTTTTGCTGACTCCCATTATTAGAATTGAACAGAGCATTTTGTTACCGATGAATATGCCCCGACTAACTGTAATGGGGTGACTGAACCTGGCCTCTCAGTATTTGCATTGGAAATGGCCACCGCTTCTAACACCCAAGGTGACTAAATATTAATAAATCTTCTTCATTTATATTTTCATCATATAGACGTGTTACAACACGATAACACGTATTAAATCGTTGTCAAGCTTGTTGGAGCATGTCTTTATCAAGATTCGAGTTCATCATTACTTATCGGCCAGGAAAACAACAAGGTTTGTGCGATGCCTTGTCTAGACATTCTTATCTTGCACCAAAAGAAGGAGATGCAGCTTTTGAGCAACAAAGAACGGTTCTCTTGAAGCCAAAGCAATTTCATCTTCGAGCAATAAAATCAACATTGACTGTTAATTTAACTTTTCTCAAGCAAGTCCAGTTAAGTATGTCTTCAGACCCTCTTGTTCATGATATCAAGAATAATTCTTCTAAATCTCATGATCCCTCTAAATTTGAATTCAAGAACAACCTACTTTATTTCGAAGGACGTCTATATGTTCCAGAACGAAAAGCAAGTTTACGTGTTCTTTAAGCTCATCACGACTTCCCAACAGCATGATATTTTGGATATAATAAGACTTTGGAGCTGATATCTAGGAATTTTTGGTGGCGTCAAATGTGGAAGGTAGTCAAAGATTTTGTACAATCATGTGATGTTTGCTCAAGATAAAAAATTCCTCTTCATCGACCTTTTGGATTTCTTCAGCCATTATCCATTTCAGAACAACCATGGTCTTCTGTTTCTATAGACTTCATCACGGATCTTCCAATCTTAGGTTCTTATGATTCTATATTCGTGATAGTAGATCGTTTTACCAAGATGGCACATTTTGTACCATGTACAAAATCTATCACAGGTGAAGAAATAGCTAAGCTCTTTCTTGACAATATCTATCGCTATCATGGATTATCCAAGGATATTATATCAAATAAGGGAACTCAATTTATATCAAGATTTTGGGAGACTCTTTTCAAGATTCTAAAAGTGGATATAAAACTATCTTCGGCATTCCATCCTCAAACTGATGGACAAACGGAGCGTGTTAATCAAGTTTTGGAGCAATATTTAAGATGTACCATTAACTATCAACAAGATGATTGGACAACTCTTTTGCCATTGACAGAGTTTGTTTACAATAACATGGTACATTCTTCTACAAAATAAACATCTTTTTTTGCTAATTATGGTTATCATCCACAACTTGATACTTTTGACTTTTCAAAAGTTGATAATCCTGTTGCGAAAGATTTGGCAATTCATTTATCAGAGCTACATGCAACGGTGAAGGCGTAGTTAAAAGAGGCTCAAGAACAACAAAATGTCAATGCGGATGTCTATCAAAAGGAACAACTACCATTCCTCTTGGGTGATAAGGTATGGCTACTTCGTCGCATTATCAAGACCACTCATCCTTGTGACAAATTGGACTATCAAAAGCTTGGACCATTTTCTATTTCTCCACAAATCAATCCAGTTGCATATCGTTTACATCTACCGGAGTCAATAAAAATCCATTCAGTATTTCACATATCTCTTCTTGAACCATACAAGACAATGGACATACCAAGAAGACGACAAGCTCTACCTCCTCCTATAGAAGTGGACAATAATGAAGAGTTTGAAGTAGAAGAAGTCTTAGATTCAAGGCGGCGCCAAAATAAATTGGAATATCTTGTCTATTGACATAGATATGATATTAATGAACGCACATAGGAGCCAATAAAGAATCTTGCAAATGCAACAGAGGCGGTGGAGGCTTTTCATCAAAGACATCCATCAAAATCAAGATGAAAACCTTCTTTATAAAAGAAACAACATCTAGGCAAGATAACATTCTACTTTCAATCCTTGTTCGTAGCTTCTTTGTAGTTGTGACACTCAAGAGATGGAGAACCAACTACCAGCAGATTCGACTCAAGAGCCTTCATTTGCTGACCTGCCAAATGAGACATTACGATTGTCACAACCTTCAAGACGACGTAATTGAGATAAAGATCTTCAAGAACGACATGTTTTTCCTCGAATAGATGGCGAGATACAACGCGTTTGGCATCATGATTTGGGAAGGGACTCCCGATGTTTGGTGATTATGCTAGAAGTAGGAACAATTCCTGATGGTGTTCCAAATATTCTATTCGAAGGAAGTTATGAAGGCCTCAACAATGATCAAATAACTGGGTGGTCTTCTTGTCCTGGTATGGGATACTACCAATGATTGAGAGGCCCTATCAATCATCTTCAAAGAGAACAAAGATCAGAGTATGTGGCGAATATAATTTGTCACATCATAGATTTTCTCAACATATGATGACCGCTCCTTATCAAACTCGTCTCTAGAAGGGATGATAATGTCATGGACATACTCATGTAAGCTAGTAATTACATATACAAATAGGTAGAAGTAAATAAAAGTAACTAAAAGTAAGTTAATTTTATAGTATTTAATATGAAAGCTTCTTAAAAGCTTCATAGATGTTGCTTTCACTTTATAGGTGTCTTTAATTGACTTTTTGGATTAGAAACGTGGTCAACAAGTTGGCCATGTGGCACACATGTTGTTAGCTTGAAGATCAAGCTAACAATGTGGCCCACATATAGAAAAACTTGCCTTGTAAATCAAGGCATATATCCTACATAGTCAACACATATTAGAGGTCCTATAGAACGTCGCCACGTAGTTCCTAGTTAGATAGTATATATAGAGACAAGAGTGAAGTCTTCTTCACTCTTATCAACTCCTTTCTTGCTTCCAGTCTAGTTTCAAGGGTCTCTAGTTTTCTTGTCTTTTGACAATAGCCATTCCAATTTCTCTTTCAATATACATACTTGTTTATTTATATTTTGTTATCTTTCTTTGAGTGAAGGCTGACTTGACTAAATTATTTTTTCATCGAGTTCTTGTCCTTGACATTTTTAGACGTAGAATTTGTTAAAAATCATAAAATACCGTTAGTATAAAAAACTAAATTTATTCATGTAGAAGTCATAGATCGTCATCCATTATCTTTTGGAGATGTTACTCATAAAACACTTCCTATAGATGTAGCAATAAATGGTCATAGTAGTTGCGTAATCTTTAATATGATTAGATCTCCCTCTAATCTAGTCATTTTAGGTTTATTGTGGTTAGAAAAGTATAATCCTTATATAGATTGGATTTCTTGTACTCTTGAATTTTCTAAAAATATAACTAAGAGTGAAATTAATCCAATAGAAAGTTATAAGTCTAAAATAATAAAATATCTGTTTGTAGGTGTGAGAACTTTCTTGCATGCTACAAAAGAAAGATCACCTTAAGTCATTTACACCACACCTATTTCTAATGATGCAGAGACTTCAAATAGCATTTCAAGTCAATATCAAGAGTTTCACGATGTATTCAAGAAAAAGAATGCAGATACTCTTTCAAAATATTTTTTCTATAATTGTTCAATTAACCTTCAACTTCAAGAAGAAACACAACCACCATTTGGACCAATCTATAGATTATCATAAAATGAATTAGCTAAACTCAAGAAATATATTGAAGAGAATTTGGCTAAGAATTTCATACGTCCATTCAAACTGAGTCTGGTGTAGACTTACAGTTGTAAGTTATGGAAATATTGATTTAATAAGAGTTTTATGTTGATGAACTTTGGAATCTGTGTGGTCTCAGATAAAGACAAGATATTTCTAGCGTCTTTGTCTATGTTTTCAACGTCGTTACTTTGTAAATTTCATGAAGTGGCACCCTTAGACATCGTTACATTTATTCCCTTGGAGAAGCAAAATTTGAAGTTTAAGAGCAGTAATCTTTTTGACAACTTGATAATCAGACAGGTTTTCGTAATTAAATTTATCTAGTACTTAAAGATGCTAAGAGAAAAATGCTAAGGTACATATACTTGGTATATGTGGCTTTTGTCAATGATCGTAATTGCTAATCGCATATTGGGAAAAAGTGATTCAATCACACTGACGTATATAATCTCTTCGGGTATTCTAACTTAAGTCCTCAACTGTTCCTAATTCGTTGATCTACAGTGAAGGGCATGCAGATTGTCGCAGAGCTGGAGAAAAATTTGCAGATTGCGAGCATCATTGTCAAGGTTCAGAGTTCTCTATTGTTGGTCATGGTCGATCAACTGAAGTACAGATGGTTTACTGTTTTGTGTTTTCGACGATTCTATAATGGGAACCCATCATTATCTATGCTATTTTATTTGTACTTTTATAATGTTCTTAAACTTTTCAAGTCTTTTTGATTTGTTTTAGAGTCTACACCGATGTTGTAAATTTTTTCCTTGACCTCGTTGGTGCTTAAAATGATTGTTTTAATCCTCTTTTGTTGCTGCACTCACGCGTTGAGGTAATGTTGTTTCGGTTTTGGAGCGTATTCATCACGCTTTAGATATCAAATCACGCATTGATGCTGTGGTGGATGAAGGAGATTTTTCAAAAGTAAGTTTCTAGACAGAGCCTCCTACTTACTTAATAGCAGTTTCTAACATATGTGTTAGACCCGAGATCGGTAAGCGCCAACATGACAAATAACGTTGGCAACGTGATACGTGCAAACTAGAAAAGCTATGCTGCTTTTTTAAAACTGAACTAATGAGTATTGGAAAAATCAAATTTGATAGGTAAATCGTAGGATTTTAACACTTGGGCGTGTGCTCATCTTGAATGTACAGGCTCTGCATGTGTTCAGAGTGTTTGTTGCTGCTGGAGGAATGCCCAGACTTGACAGCTGTTCAAGAAGTGTATCAAAGTATTGAGGTGAGATTGGTCTTGTCGCTGGACTTGTTCTGTTGCTTCTTCTATCATATCTTGTGCATGTGATGTCGTTGTCTTCCCTAACCTGGCTGTCTATTTGGGTTGTAGAATGAGATTTATGTATGTTTTAGGTTAGGTTGCCTTATAATGAAGGTTCTGGAAACTCTGTACGCCGTGATCTGTATGCATGTGTAACAACTTTTTGATTTGTAGAGAATCATGCTGATGAATGCTTTTTTTTGAAGGAAGACCTGGTATTGTCATTCTGTCTTTGTCGTGACGGAGATGACGCTGGTTGCCTGTGAACAGGAGTGGCTGCAGAGAACCATTATCAAAGTTGATGCGTTGCTTATGGAAGTTTGTCGGAAGTTTGAGACTGAGAAGTATAAAGTTGTAAGCCATATTTTTGGGTGATATCTAATTACTATCATCACATGTGTAAATCAATTTAACTAGGAACAGTTGCAAATCTTATTTTGTATATTGCTGTCGAAGAGGTCTAACTCACCAAGAGGTTTGACGTTTACTTGGATCATTTCAGGTTGTCAATGCTTATACTTTATTGGACGATGCCACTAGTCTTGCTGACAAGGTACAAAGCTTTTTCGCACAGAATGTCGTTACGGAAACGCATGATGTGCTCAAGCACTTGCTCCTTGAGGTACGTATCTTTTCTTTCGTCTCATTTTCGTTGGTCAGATTATAGAAGTAGACCACAGTCATTGACTACTCCACTAAATGATCCAAGTGTGTTCAGTGCAACCGTATGCTGGATAGTGCTAATAAGTCATCAACACAAAATGTATATCTATAATGTTTTCGAGGTGAATGATTTTGTAAGAGTTTTTGGGTGCAGGGAGAGGATGCGCAAACTGCACTTAAAAAAAGCAGGTATGAGTCTCTCCTTAGCTAGGTGTGTCTTTAGGTTTAAGATCTTCTCTGAAACTTGTGATGTGAAATGCTCTAATCTGAGATGTAATGTTTATAGTCCATCACAGTAGTCTTCATGGCGTTCAATTTTTACCCAGTACTTCTGCTTTTATAATAGGGAGTTGATGCTTGCTGTATCCACTATTTTTTGGGATGATGCCGCACTTATCAGAAATGTTATTGCGCACGAGCTTATTGGATTTAATCCTTGATGCAGATTTCCATATCGAGACTTGTGCATGCAGCTCCCTGAGGAAAAATTCAGACCATTTTTGTGTAAAACCCTTGAGGTTCTTTTTGATCTCATGTGTTTATATCACACTACGATGACATGGCACAGAAAAACAGAGGTATTTCATTATTACGGGCTGATATTACAGTAAAGTAGAACTACCTTAGCCTCACGTGCTAGAAGGGTTTGAATTGGGAGGCTGTTGAAGGACTAGTCAAGTTATTATCTTCTACTACAAATCATGATATTCATAAGTTTGTGCGGCTGTTTTCCTTTCCTGTATTCTCCACTTGGATGTGCAATTGTGGCTTCATCTGCTTTATTGTTGGTTCCAGTCAGCTGAGATAAAGTTCCCTGCGGAAGATCAAGCGATTTGTTCAAACGGAAACCACCACCACCGTCGCTCAGGTAGTCATGGAGATTTGAGTCAAATTGTTAAAGAGAGCAGACACGTCCGTACTGAATCGCACTCCGGGGAGCTTTTTGCCATACCGATGTCGCCAACATCTGTACATGCAAGCAGGATGTTGTCTCGGAGTGGGTCCAGAAGGAGGTCCTTTTCTGATAAATCAGAAATGAATGAAAATGGCACTTTTGCAAGTGGTGATTTTGATGGAAAATTTCTAGGGGAGAGTGGAATTAGTGACAACCTTGCAAAGCGAGAGGAAATTGTATCAATAACCGTTGCTAGAGCGTTGGAGCGTGGGCGGAAGACAGTCTGGGAGCTAGCTGCACGTCGAGTAGCAGCGTTCCTTTCAAATGATGCAGTATTTCTAACGAGTCCTGAACAGTTTCTGCAAAGCTTGGACTGGGTGAATAAGTTCATTCTTGCAGGAGAGGCCTTTTGTGGCACTGAAGCTGTATCTTTACGAACCAAGCTCACAAAGCAGGGTGAACAGTACTTTGGAGCCTATCACTGTCAAAACCTTGAAGTAAGTGTGCAAGGGTCTTGTATAAACCATGCTCGTTGTGGCTTTCCGTGTTTCTATGAGATCTAATATGACTTTTCATTACAGGTTTTGCGAATGATTGTTGAAAAAGAGCTTTGGCAACCGCTCTCTTCGTTGGCGCTTAAGTCAGTGGAACTAGCAGGTCTTACTGGCCATGGTTTATCCTTAGCTCCAACATCTGTATTGGGTGAAAGTCCTGGAGCTCCTCAAAGACCCAGCAGTCCTAGTTCTGGTCATGGAATGACCGGCTTTGCAGAGTGGCTGGAAAGAGGAAATCCATTTGCCGAAAAATCACAGCACCGCTCTGCTATCCCCAAGGTTACGGACGAAGATGCCGTGAGGATCAATGGCATTGACAAAGTAGGGCTTGGGGCGAATGACTCTGTTAAAGTTGAAGAGGAGGAAGATAACGAAGACGAGGATCTGCTGGCGGATTTTATAGATGAGGATAGCCAGCTGCCAGGTCGCCTGTACAATAATTTTCAACATAGTGCTATGCGTTCAAAGAGGGATCAAGGTTCTAATGAGGACAAAAATCTGGTACTTACAAATTCTTCAGTGAATATCCTTAGGTGAGACTCTTACGCTCATTGTTCTCCTCATTGAGTTAGTATGGCTCCATTTGTTAAGATTAGTGGGTTTGTATGCCTTCCTCTGAAGAATCTCTCCTGTTTTACGAAGTAGTTATCTCTTCTTTGTGTTCATGTTTCAAAGGAAACAATTTGAGTTTTGAGTGTTCTTCTGGCAGACACATGAACAGATAAGCAAGGTTGATGGGGAAAATGCAGCCAATTTCTATAAATGTGTTGAAGGTACCCTCTAGTGTTTTATGATTCTATTGTATTTTCTTTCTCGTGTCTGGCTTGTCTTCTATATCTGAAGTATATCGGTAAACTTCTCAACTTTTTCAATAAATTATTTGTTGAGGCAACTATATTTCAGCGGTTGTCAAATTTTATGTCTTGCTTTGACACTATCGTTGTTTGGTATAGGGTTTGGGCCAATTATTCGAATTGTATTCTTTTTCAATTTTTAAGACCTTTGGACAGCGAGAAGCGTTTGGGGGGAGGTCGCGGTCATGAATCATACTGTAAGTGTATTTAAAAATAGTTCATAGGTGTACTGGTGAAGCAATGTCAGTGATACTTCTTTTGCTGTTCCTCCGTGTGTTCTCAATACACTTTAATTGACTATTGCACTTCTTCTTCCTCTGATTATTATTATTATTATTATTATTATTATTATTATTGCTATTATTTATTATTATTTCTCTACTATTACTTATTTTTCTGTGGTTGATATCTGATTCAATGCATCGTTTTGGTGGATCGATCAGTGCTGACCCCTCGATTGCGGGCGACTTTGTTAAGGATATCACAAGAATTAGAGGAGCAGCGTTTGAAACAATCCATAAGCATGAGTGCTTCATCTGGACATACCAATACAACTGGCATACAATCGGATATTCCACCCAATTCCTCATTTGGAGGTGCTGAAATTGTGATGACCGCAACTAATTTCTATGCGCTTAAGGTAAGATTCGAGTTGAAATTGATGTCAATTTACGTGTCTAAATCTTTTTATCTTATGTTTACTGTTGAATCATTATCTTAGTTCCAGTTCTGCTTGATAGCAAATTGGAACATGGTCTCATCTCCTCTTGATAACCCCTTGCCTACCTTACTTGAGATATATTTGTGGACCATTTGGACAATGAACATCTCACTGCTTGTTTTGTCCAGTAAAAGTAGACTGTAACCATTGTGACTTTACACATCCAATATCTTTGTGTGCCCAAATCAGATAATTGCCTATGTTTGCTTGCCCGTTGTCTTTTAACCATATTGGCGTCGAAAAGTCCTTGTGATACATTGTCCATCTTATTACCAGTTCTAGAGGCGTATATGAAGTGCAGGGGAATATAGAATCTCATTGTTTGGGCTCATGAATTAATGTCTACGTCACATTTTTACACAAGTAGAGTTTTACACAACTTCGACTTGACCTGACAGCCATCTAGTTGTTTACACATTTTTCTTTATCTGTAATGCAAGGTCTGGGATTGTTAGTGATGAATATCAAGGAGTCATGAAATTAAAATTTTCCTGTTGTGCAGGAACGTACAGTAGCAACGGAGTCATTGGCCTGTCTTGTGCAAATGTTGAAGAGCTCACGGCTATTGTTGCAGGCTGTGCTGGGTCAAGATTCGATGTTGTCAGTTGAACTCGTTTATACTCGCACGGTCTGTATAAAACCTTTCGTATGTGTTTCTTGCTAAAATCGGTAGCTGTTTCGAAGATACTTCTGTTGGAGATAATGTGATTTATGCTCGTTTGACTCAATAGACCCTATCATAACTAGGTGTTCACGAGAGTCGGGTTTGAATTGATGGTACTGGCGCACATTCAGATAGATGCAGTTCCGGATTTGAGAGATCATGTGTACAAGGCTATGGTACGAATGCTTCTCAACGTGAGTGGGTAATTTTTTTAATCACCATGTATTTCAAAATTTTCATTTGTTCCCCAGCTTAGGACGTTAGATTATCATCTGGATTTCAACTGGCATGAACTTTCACTCCTTTCCTGGTAAGACTTACGTGGTTAAAATGTATTTGTTGGCTTCTGCTATGATAAGGTAGTCGAGGATAGTTCTTAGTGTTTGATGCACAGGATTTATGGTTGCAGTCTTGAGAAAATAATCGTCTTTGGATGAGATGGTATGTTAACCTCACTCGTCTCACATTTTGTTGCAGTTATATTGATCGCATAGCAAATGTAAAATGGAAGCTTAAAGATTTGGGAATGGAAAACAACAGGTATATTGAACATGTCTCTTTTTGTTGAAACTAGTACTTGCATTCCAATGTTGTCGACAAACATTATTTGTGTGTGTTTTAATTTCTTTCCCTGACTTTTGTGATGCTGATAAGAGACCATCTGTGCCATTGTCGATGCCTTTTTTTCTCTGATTTAAAGTACCTAAATACTCCCATGTACGCCTCTGGTGGTAATCAAGATTTTGGTCCAATGTTGGTAGGTATGTAGATTCTCTACTGGGCGCGTACAAGCAGTACTCAACTAAGTTAGATTGCGGTGGTCTTGAACAGGAGGTAAGAAATCAGAAAAGAATAACTTGAGCGATTTTTTAAAAAGAAAGACTAAACACACACACACACACATATATATATATATATATATACATATATATTTAGAGAGAGAGAGAGAGAGAGAGAGAGAGAGGTTTTTATGTGCTTGAAGTAACTTTCTGCAGGTTGGGTGTCTTTGTCCATACCTCAATGCTCTCTTTGATGAAGTCAAATAGTTTACTGCAACATGAGATCAGTTATCCAGCTGTTTTTTCAGTTATACGGCAGCATTGAACTATGTCGATCTACAGCTAATGACGATCCCGTTGTTGTGGGGATGTAGATGCACGAGTTTTTGCTAGAGTATGGAGTGGACACGCTTGCTGAAACTATTGTGGAAGGATTCTCTCGTGTGCGAAGATGCAATAACGAGGGTCGGGCTTTGATGTCTCTTGACCTTCAGGTACTTTATTACCATTTGTAATTTGATTTCTGGGCTTCTTTCTATGTTCGAGTTCGATTAATGCAGTTGAGTATTAGATTATTGAAAGTTTATTCATTTGTTTGTGCATTTAGGAATTAGAGTTTATTATTTCTATACTCTGTTAATTATCACCTCAACTAATATTTTTATTTTTTATTATTTGGATTTAAAAATAAGATTTGTGTATTCTTTTTACTTTAAGTTCAATTAGTTTTTTTTTTTAAAAAAAAATTAAACATTTTAATGGTTTTAATGGTAATTGCAAATGCTTTTGACATTTGTATATGTAATGTTTTCCAAGGATCATGTTGCAAACCCAATCAAGTGAATAGCACAATACTAAGATTCTTACCAACAAATACTAATATTATTGCAAGATAGAAATTATATAAAATCTTTAGTATGGTGAGATGATAATGTTTTCATTTCACAAGTGAACAAGATTTTCTTGGTTCTAGTTCTTGCTTAATAAAACCATGCTTTTGATAAGTATAGTTTCAAACATCCTTGTTCTAGGTTGATGGTATCAAAACAACTCCTTTAATTTTAACAGTGATTTTCAACTTTTGTAAGTTTAGAGAATAAAGATTAATGATGTATCCACACCCTTGAGATCATTAACAAATAATGCTTAGCTTTTACAATAACATTAGCAAAGAAGAATAGTCTCATAAGGAGATCAACTATCAAAAAGCATACTTGACACAAAGCCAAGACATATGGCACAAATTTTGTATGTTATAAAAAATATTTATTTCTTGGAGCAACTAGAAATTATAAAATTACATGATCCCAATTAAATTAAATTGTCAAACCTTATATAATTTATGAAATTTCCATATACCAAAGTTAAAAATTAAATAAGATACCTCTATATATGCACTTGTGCAATGAATTAGTTGGTCCTATGAGATCAAGGATTTTGGGTTGAAACAATTACTAAACTCACTATTATTTATAACACATACTAGTACATAATGTAGAGCAAGCATCAGAGTGGCTCGTTTGCAGTGGACCCTCAAACCGAAAAAATAGTAGTGTCAAAAACAAAACGTTAGGAACGAATGCTAAAAAAAGAATGACCGCCATTCTGTACTTCACCGATCTGATCCCTTCCTCTCCGATCAACCACTCCAACATCCAAGAATCCCCCCAAAATGACTTAAATTGTTTCTACCTGCACTGCATAAAAATGCTACATTTCGGCTGCACCTAACCGAGACTTTACAAATCATCATACCAATCTTCTCCACGCAATTCAACCTCAGAATTCCACTCAAAATTCCATGACCATCTTACTTCTCCAGCCTAGCACCACCTAATGCCTGGTTATGAATGGGGAATTTATTACCCGCCTTGGATGGTTTCATCAGCACCTTTTCAAAACCAGATGGGTACTTCCCCACAGCATTCTTTGCATGCGTTGTGCACAAGTCGTTCAGGATAACACTGAGGATTGGATTCAACGACCTTGTGTGAGCTCAGATAGAAATCCGGGTGTTGATTAGTGTTCTCAAGCCTACAGACTTTCTAGACAATCTCCTTACTCGGAGAGAGTGAAATGGAGAGGCTAGGGGAATTGAGGTGATGAAGCTAAAGACGAATGTGTCCCATATATAGTGATTGAAGGAAGATTCTGTAAAATTCAATGGGTGGAACATTACAAAATTGGCACCCAATCGTGTAATACGACGAAAGGAGTTCACCTTTGCAGTTGGTCACGAAACAGCTCTCTGTAATCCAGACCTGCAAAAAATAAGTAGGCGCATAACAAACAGTTCACCTGTTTGTAGAGATAAGCTGGTAGTGCTAAAACCTAAAATGTGTGTCAAGCTAACACACTTCAACAATCCAAAACTACTTGTCTTATTTGAGAGGTGTCTTTCTTAGATTGTCAAAAGGAGTCTATTTAGAAGGATGTTTAGCCCCGAACTAGACCTACGGGAATAAATTTAAAAGAACTCACCCAGAAATTAAGATGAAAAATGTCTGACCTTCAGAGCATACGCTGCGATTAGGATCATTCACTCCACGAGCCCCTTCCTGTATCCTCAATACACCATGATACCCGTCGTATGAAATGCCCTCACCAACTGGAAGGTACTAAAGAATGCCTACTCTGCTCCCTTCAACCCCGAGCATATCACACTATCTGCTTCCTAAATTTGTGAAGTATTCGTCAGAACAATGCAGAGGGCGAGAAGCATTTAAGTCATTAATTGTAGAAACCAAGAGCACATTTGGATTAATTGTTTCTACTCGCAAAGCTCGAGAGTAGTTATACACTCGATGTGGGGAGTTTGAGGGAACATGTCGACGGGTTGAACATGCACTAGTCGATAGCGGGTGGGTGATTCCACGCCTTCATCCTGCTACCAGAAGAGCCCACCATCAGCAAAGCAAGAGTTCATCACAACTTTGTTAAAAGTTCGAACTGGAGACTCTAGCAAGTTCAGCCAGCACAAGACCGAAGGAGATCAGTCAGGTATAACTACTATTTTCACAACCTTTTCTAATTTGTGGTTTCAAAACCGATCCATTGTCGAGGGTTATTAAAATCAAATAAATAAATAATAATGGCAGTATCCAAGAAGCCACTTACTCCGGTATGGCACAATAGATCCAAGTCCCGGGCACATGTGGCTGGGTTGCAGGAGATATAGACAATGCGACGTGCACGTAGCTGTAGCAGATATTTTATCAGCTTTATATGCATGCCTGGCCTGTTAGGATCTGTCAATGACCAGAGAAGAATGTAAGACCGATCACTTGAGATGACAATAAACAAGAAATTTGGAGTGCAGATAACACAATCATCAAGGTACTGTACCTGTTATCACTACATCAGGTCGTGGAAAGTCCTTTCCAAATTCGTCAGTAAGCTTGTTGAGGTCACCCTGAATGAAGGTGGCATTCTGAATCCCATTTCGAGCAGCATTGCGACGAGCATCTACCACGGCTTCTTGCACGAGTTCATACCCATATACATGCTTCACCCTGCACCAATGTGAGAACATAAGGACCAACTGTCAATTTTTGCTTCCACAAAATTTCTATGAAGCTTCTTACAGAGATGGCATTCAATCGACACAATCTTAATCTTAAGTGCAAACTACGAGACCATATTGTTTAAAAGGGTTAGTTGAGTGGTTCTCACCTTTTCGCCATACTAAGCCCGATTGTGCCGGTACCACAAAAGAGGTCCAAAAGAACTTCACTGCCATCACCTTTCAAAGCACACTGCTCTTCAACCTTCTGGTAAAGCACCTCAGCCTGACAGTCACAAAATAGCCCTCGAATAAGAATCGATGCGTAAGTTAGCATGACCATTCGGGAGAAACACACGTTCAAATATCCCAGATTATTCCATTGTTAATGCACAAGTCGATTAATACCTGAGAAGTATTCGTTTGAAAAAAGGAGTTAGCGGAAATCTCAAAAACGAGCCCCCGTAGGCGTTCGGTAATATAAGCCTTGCCGTATAGAACATGCTCCTTGTCAACAATAGACGATGGCCCAACTGCTGAATTTACATTATTCACAATACTGACCTGGGAATGACATAGCAAGATTCTATCAGTAACCAAGAAATGCTCAGTAGCCATGTTCAGTGAGATGTATGCATCAAATGTTATAAGAAGCTCTGTTTATATCATAATATGCTTCTCCATTTCGCCCCGCTGAGGAAGCCAGCAAGGAGAGAAAAGTATCCTCTACTCACCACTTGCGGAAAAGAGGTTGTGATTTGGTCTACAAGGGGTTGAAGCAGATCTTTCTTATCTCCTTTCGTCACAAAGTTCACCATCAACTGCAATTGTCCAGTCTCGCAGTCCCTGCAGGTTTCAAATGCCAGATTGAAAAAGCACACACAAACAATGTGGAACATACAAAGGATTTGAGAGAAAATAACATATGCATCATCACTCAGAAAGAACATGAATATACAACAAGATGAATTTCTCAACAATAGGTGAGACAAACAGGAAAAAGAACGGAGCTGACTACGTAACTTGGGTCATAGACACTTCAACGGACATCTTCTCCCACTGCTTTTATGCAGATACCTTAAAACCTTCCAAGGCTTGATACAAGTTAGCGGGTAAAACTAGGAAAAAGTCCCTTCTCACCTGCCAGACCGAATAGTAAGATGCTTAAGAAAACCTTCGTGTGTCCGTACATCATATGGGGGCAACTCCTCTAAATGTCTTTCACCGTGGTCCTGAACCAATTTCAAGACCTGCAATAAAAATGAAACATTCACCCGTTTTGTTAGAGTTATGGCACAATAAACAGAGCAGTAGAAAGAGACTGTGTTAACATGGCACATCATTGTTGATTCGATGGTAACATGGAATTGGCAAAATGTTAGCCAAAACATTTGTATCTGAGAAAGAAGATCAACGTCTGAGATTTACACTATTCATATTCAAATACTCAGCATACAATAACAAGTTATTGTCACGAGAGGCAATACATCACCTGATTGGAAACGTCATGCTGTAGAAGACAGTTGTGAATAGGCATAATTTTGTCAAATCGACCAGGAGCATGAAGCCCAAGTGCAAACTCTAACTTTGGACCACTTTCATTCACGTCTTCAAGTTTCGGTGAGACAAACAATCCTTTAGACTTCCACTTTTTTGTTCCATATGAGAATTCCATCTGTAGATAATCAAGGCATCCTATCATTTTCAGTACATTTATACAGTTTCTTACTAACAGGAAAATGATTAGTTGAAATAAAATAAAATCAAATAACCAGTCAAAATGATTATCCCGCTACTGCATATACATACACAGCTTCTGGAACACAAACTAATTTCGACAGGAAGAACATATGGTAAAGAGAGCGACAAAATTCGCACCACGAAAGTTCAAATCCAACAATCGAACTCTGCAAGATGTATTGTCATGAAAGAAAACAACATTTGACGACATACCTTATTGCGGTAGGCATATGGAGTAGCGCAAGGTACTATGGGCATCATATAACTTCCAGGTTCACCCGAGAGGGGGCTGTTGCCAAACTTTCCAAGCCGTGCAATCAGATCATGAACCTGCTGTTCCTTTTCGCGAAGTTGAGCCTCGTAGGTCAAATTCTGTGTCTTACATCCACCGCACTCGCCAAAGTACTCACACGGTGCTTCTACCGCGTTGTCATGCACTGACAATGTCTTCAACTTGTATGCCTGAAACAATAACCATCGTCAGAGACTTGTCAGAATCCTTGCTCTCTGAATTACCTAGCTCTACGTCCCACGAAACAACAAGTAGAGCTCAATTACCAATCCCTATCCCTTCATGGTATGTTTCAGGTAACAGAGAAAGAAAATAGGTTTTGTCATTTGAGAAACGAATCAAAAAACTACTGCAATCCAGCGAATTACAAGCACTGACGAAATTGCAACAATGAGGATGCTGCGGGTTATAATCGTCAAACAGATTCCCTCACAATCAGGGATCTTGAATTTCCTTCGAAACCGCAGGCAAAAAGCCAGTAGTGCTTTCTCCGAAGGTTAGGTGGCGACAAACCCATCCAAGCACCACAAACCTTAAACCCCTACCTCCGCAAAACCCTTCTTTTTCTTGAGTATTCGGGCGATAAGGCGCTCCCCTGGCAACGCCCGCTCGCAGAACACAACAAATCCAGTGTCCACAACCTTGCACAACCCAAGACCCTTGTATGCCAAGCTCTCACAAACCATTTCCAGGTCCTGGCCCTTCTTCGGAAAGAAATTCTTCGGCTTGTCAGACGCATTCTTAGCATTCTTTATGCTCTCAGAGAGAGACTCTAATTCCTGCGTCTCGCCCACGTGGGTCCCGTCATCAGATTCTGCTGCGACTTCTGAAGAATACTCACATCTTGGTGCATACCGTGGCCCGCTAACCCTAAACGACAGAGAAGGTTTGCGAGTTGTTAGAAGAGGCACTCGGAAGTTAGCTCGGGGCGGATGACAAGAGCAATGCATCGACGAGAGGCAACGGCCTAGTAAAGCGGTTGCCATTGCAAGAACCGGTCCGCACTGCATTATCAACCCAATCAATTCTCTCTGTTAGAATTCACAGCTGAAATTCATGACTATAGCAACGAAAAGAATGCTGACAAGTGCTGTCCACAACACGGAAGGGGTTTGGGGTTTAACAACTAGTCAAAAACCTACGAAACTCAGCAGAAAAGGGTGAGCATGGTCTCAGAATCCTACAACTTAAACAGCGAAATGCAGCAGCTTGGCGGTGAGCAGGCGTTTGCGGCAGCTCAGTCGAATTGTGGGATAGAACCACTAAAACTTTAAACTACTGCATCCTACTCACTCAGAGTCATGATCATTGCTCAACGCATGCAATTAAAGATCCCAACTCACGCCGCATGCTTGCGTGCCCGTTTACGAACAGAATTCTTTGTTTCAGCTTGTTATCAAGGCTTTCAAGTCCAAATTTGCGAGTGTGAGATTCTCCATGGTCAGTGGGTCAGAAAGGATAAGCTGTGTGATGCGCCCCTTTCATTAGCTTGGATGGTTACCCCTCCATCGATGGTATGAACTCGGATTGAAGACAATCCTCACCCCATTAAACCATCCCTCAGTTGCATCAAAGAGGTCATGACTTGCTGGAAGCCGCTTTACCGCACCCTTTCACCGCGCATAAATCCCGTCGCCGTGGCAAGGTGATATGTTCCCTGATATGAGGTGGTTGCTCAATTAGTTATGGATAAGAGGACAACTTTTGTACCAAGATACTGAGGCATCAAATTACACTAAGTCCTGTGGCATTGCCTTCGTATTACAAAAAAAAAATTTAATAGCTTTGGCTTTGAGACCTCTCAATAGTGTTGTCTCTTGACCTTGCTCTCATCAATGGGAGCATCATTGTAAGGCTATACGCCCCCATGTGGTTGTTGCAAATATTTATTAAGGTATAGTAGTAACAAGGATATAGTATTAATAATTTTTTATATACATACACATATATACAAATTAATAATCACCTAAGATTTCATAAATATTCAATTCAAGTCTTTAAAAATATCATGACTAAATCCTTATTTATGAACAATTCCAATTCACCATAGTCTTAATTCAATTACTTTTACATTAAATAGTGCAAATATTGAGATAGTTTTTCTAATTATATACCTTATGTGTTAAAAAAAGTGCTACTAAGTTATGTACATTCACTCAAAAACGCCATGCTTCCATCATATGTTGTTTTGCACCATTTTGTGTGTCCTTTAAGACATCTGACATTTGCTTAGTATAATTTTGGTTAATTTTGAAACAAAAAGCAAAAGATAATAAAAATACACCGCACAATAATTTGTTTGGAATCCACATCGGAAGACGCATATTAAAATTCCACAATTGCAATCCAGCATCCTGGCATTCGCAAACCGGCTGTGCTTGCGGCACAACGGAGTCAACCAGCTTCACAAACATTGCACTTGGTCTGCATGCAATGGCTCTCCGTCCTCCATTACCACCTTCCAATTTATTCCATCAACCGTTGCGGTGACCGCACTCTGCAGTCATCCAGCGATCCATTTATTCCGCTCATCAATGGCACAACATACTCCGCACACATGAACGTGAGCCTATTCCCTACACTGCACGATCACGCAGCGAACTCCTTTGCAACTACCGCCGTCTTTCACAACAAAGGCGACGCCACTTCATGTGGTCCGCGCTTTGCTGTCATCGTTCCCAATACGCTCGGCACAGCAATGCCATCTAACTACCACAAACACAACTACTCCGCCATCCGCCTAATGGTGATCCTTGCCATGCTTCGCCGCTTCCTCAGCGTGACGCAGGTGCCGGATCTCCGTCGGCCAAGCGATGGCGTACGACAGAAACCCAACGCTCAGCATCACGTCCATCAGAGGCCTGATGCTGCCAGTCTGAATGTACTTCTCGTTGTACTTGTACAACCACGACCACGTGGAACTCATCACCTTCTCCCGACTCAGGTTCGACTTCAGATGGTTCGGGACATCCTTCACCTTCATGCTCGCCAGGTTCCTCAATGGTGCCGCCATGTTGCCTGCCACGCCACATTTCACATTTCACATTTCAAGGGCCATCAGTACACCCGTCTCCACCAGTCCTGCCTCACCGTCGCCTCAACGGCAGGGAGACCGCACTACATGTGATCCAAACTGCCCACAACCCGACGCAGCTGCCAACAAACTCACTCAATCCTGCACTGCACTGTGCTACATCACCACTTCAACAGGACCGGGCCAACACTTTCTCACAACAAATTCCGCAACCAAGTCCGACGTGCCACCACACCCAACTTCCTCACAACAATTTGCTTCTGCCAACTTCATCGCACTGCCACGACTACTCAAATTCCCCTAGCCATCGGTGCACAACATTGGGAGCTCCCAGGACATGCATCCGACGCCCACTCACGCCGCGAGAAATCGTGTCCAACCAGCGCCCCGCAATCGCCACTTTCTTTATCCGCCACGATATCGACCAAACGCAGCTCGTCGACGACATCGCGTCCATCGACTGTGAAACGACACAACAGCATGGGACTGGCAGCCAATCCAGTCAACACAACAGTCCCTTACCGGAATGGATGCCACAAACGCCGAGACAACGAAGGAACAAAGATGACCGGGACAATGAGAACGCCGCGATCACCAGGCAGCCGCACGCGTGGGAACAAGCTGAGAAGACGCGCAAAAGAAGCAGATGGGACCTCATTCACCCAAATTCCATGCTCACAAACCTAAGCAGAGCACAGTCGAGAACGCCAAGGGCGTCTCCTGCATCAACGGAGAGAAGAGCAGCTGCCCAGCACACAAACCGCGCCCTGGACCAGGACATCAGGCAATCCACAAAACGAAACCCTAGAATAGGCAGGAGTGGGGATCCCGGCATCCAGCGACGAGGGGGAGCGAAAAGCGCGAGCCCCAGAGGCAGAATGGGGAAGGAGAAGGGAGGAGCGGAGAGAGGAAGGGGACAATTGAATGGTACCAGCGATGGAGGCAGGAGCGATGCGCAGAGCTGCGAGGGCGGAGGGCGAAGGGTGGAGTTGCGAGGGGCCTGGGTGCGGAGTCGAATCCAATCGAAGCGGAAGGAGGGACGGTAGTAAGGAAAGAATGAGGGAATGGTGTACAGAAGGCTTGCGAGACACACACACACACAGTCTTTCTCTCTCTCTCTCTCTCTCTCACGCACCCGCTCACACCCAGAGAGCGTGTCCTCGGATTCACCCCCCTATCCCCCCCCTCGCCCCCCTTGGGTCATCACTGTAGTTATGTTCCATTAGGATCTTCTCAACAATGCTTCTTACACCCCTACCCACCAAATTCCTACAAACTTGGTTTACTTTGGTGCAATGGTGTGAGATTTGAACTGTACCCACTTAGTTTTTTTAGTTTTAGAGGCTATTGATAATTGTGTACTTATCATCCGCTAGTGAAGACACCACATGTATCACCTTGGTTAATCTATTTTTATATTTGATGGGTTTGTTTAGGAACTTGATCTAAAATAATGTGGCAATTCTTAAAGATTTTATGTAGCATCCAGGGCAGAGTGAGAGTTATATACAATTAAAGAAGATGGATTTAAAATTAAAAACATAAAGTACATGTTTAACACAAATCTTTTCAATAACCTACAAAGTTTTACTTATAGATCTAAAATAGAACTTACAAAATCTTCTAAAATATAAATCCTTTATTATTTTATAAAATCTAGAGTAACCTAAAGCAATCTTAACTTTGCTAAGCTATCATGAAATTAATATTTACTAAAATTCTTCAAAACCAATATTCAAACAAATCTTACCTAGTCTTTTTTCGAATTTTAAGTATCCAATGTTTAAAAGGATCAAATTAATAAAAAAATCCGGATTTTCCATATGTGCACAATTTTGGATGTAATGGTCTTATTTCAAGCTTTGTCCACAAAAAATTCTTTTTGGAAATTAATATAAGGATTTTTTAAATAAATTTAAGTGGAACACAATTCTTTATTTGTACTTAAAGATGCTTATAACATTTTTTTTGTTAATTAACCTTATTAGGTCTTATTTATGGTCCAAAAAGTAAGTAAAAATCTTTTAAAAAAAAAAACAATATTAATACTAAATTCTATACTTTGTTCTATCTATTATCAATGATTTTTTTAAAGTAATTTGCTACTATATTTTTTAATTAAATTCTTTTATAATAAAATTAGTATTTTTTTCCATCTAATTGTCTAGGTACAATAAGACAATATCTCTTTTTTATTTTTGGTTATCTTTTTTTTTTTGTTAAGGACATAAATAATAAACAACCAAAGAGTCAATACATTCTTATACTATTAATAAAGAATAGACAATCACTCAAAAAGAATATAAATTATTTAAATAAATGGATTATTCAAACTTGAGGGTATTGTCTTTTAGAATAGATACCCAATTATATAGTAGCTCAAGGTGCGTATTGGAAGAATATTAGAATGGAGGATTTGAAATCAAGTAGTTTTTTTTTTTTTTTTTTATTTATTTTTTTTGTTTTGTTTTGTTTTGTTTTGTTTTGTTTTTTGCTGGAATTTTTGGAAGGAGAGATTCAATATTGGTTTGGATTTTTTTATGCGACTTCTTACGTTTTTATCTTTTTGTGTTGATATTTAAAGAAAAGTTAGATTTGGTTGTGAGATTTCTAATAAGCCATATTGAAACAAGATCAGATTTTCTAAGGTCTAAAACCTTACCAAATCCATAATAAGAAAGATCTCAATCCAATATAAGACCAAGCACACCAAAATAAAATTAAAAGTAACTAAACGGAATGGAACCTAAAAGACAAGACTGAGTAAAAGAGAATATAAGCAAATAGAAACAAATAAAATCAAATAGAATGGAACAAGAAAACTTTATTGAGAAAAAGAGTTTGAAGCCATACCTAATTGAATGCCCAAAATGACCTCAGTGAGTCCTATTTATATTTTATTCAACTATCCTTGAATTTTTTAGAATATTTCTTATGGTGGAGTCCTTTAAAATAATTATTCTTTTAGAAGATTTTAAACGTGGTCTCTACCATGATAACCATTGTAAGTCTTTCTAGAAGGTTCTTTGGTGGATCCCATATGAAACCCCACTCTAACCTCAATTCTAAAAACTTTCCAAAAATGACTCTAATTATATATTTATATGTATAAATAATACAAGTATCTTATTTATGCCTTGCTATAGCTAATCTCCCTCCACTAATCCAAAACAACCTCGTTTTACTTCCAATGGTATTTTCAAATGGTTTCTTCACAATAAGTGAGATTTCGTGTAAGTTTCCATGTTGCATTGTAGATAGAATAATCTTTCCAGAGAACTTTGTACTAAAATTGTGGATATCGATTGCCATAATATCATATGGTGTGATTTGCAATCTAAAAATACACTAGGTACTTAGCTGTAGAGAGTTTAGCTTTGGCTTATATATCATGTTTTAACTTCTAAAATCTCTTTATTTTGCACAAAAGCTTAATTTTAACAAAACCCTTCAAAATATTTTCATCCTGCAAAGGATATTTTTACCTTGAACTTAAAAAATTCATATTTCATGTTCCAATCGTTTAATTTTTTTCAAATTTCTATATAACATAGATTCTATTCTTAAGCTTTATCACAAAAAAATTGAACCATAAATCAATTACCAATCTTCTGGTATCTTAGAAACTCTAGCAGGTGCTCTAAATCCTAATCTACAAGCACGTAAAAACTACATTCCTCATATCTCAAAAATCCAAAATCTAAATGCCAAAAAATTTGTGCATAAAGTTTATTAACATAATAATACATATTTTAAAAATTTTGACTCAAAATCTTATCAAATTGTTTAAGATATAGCTCAAAATACAACCACTAGTAAATCGGATTTTATACTACCCTTAGATTTGAAGCACTAACTTCAACTTCTAATATCTCCTTCATTCCAACTTGAAATACATCAAAAAGTATGCCAAATGTATAGTAAAGAAAATGCTTTCTTCAATCCCAGTTTCCAATCTATTATTGCTATTTGTATGTGAGTGTTTTGTCCAAAAGAGTGACAATAGGTACAAAATCAACACCTTAACTTTGAATACCTATATCTCTTTCATATAAACTCCAAATCATACAAAATTTGCACCAAAACCATAGCCAAAAACCTAAACTTGCTGATTCTAGCCTCCAAAGCTCAAATAACTTTAAAAGAATGATCCTTATTTCTAATAAGATCTCTAATAGCCTCCTTAAAGCCCATTGGCCATGATTTTTAGCCAAGAGGAATGGAAATTTTCATCATCCATCTCCATTCATTCATATAAATGTCCCAACTTCTCTTTTTGCTACCAAAATCCCTCTCCAATCTTTTTTCTTATAAGATTTATATTATATATGTCCTAATAACCAAATAAAAGAATCAAAATAAAACTTCTATAGTTGCGAATGTCTAACAAGGGTGACTCTAAATATTTAAAAGTTACTATTAATAAGATCAACTTCAAAAGTTACTATAAAAAAAAGTTATATAAATTCTAATAGAAGTCCTTTTAAATAACTTCTTTTTGGGATAATTATCTATCTACATCTTATAATCAACAAAAATCCACTAACATGGCTTTTACCATGTTATCTAGTATATTATGTATTAAATATATAAACACGTTATTTTCACATCATAGCCAAACCATAACACAACAACAATAAAGGTAATAATGCTCTCAAATACTGTCCACTTCATACTCGTATTAGTCATCAATCACAACAAGTGGTAGTAGTAGTAGTTGATGTTGGTCCGGAAAGTGCCTTGATTCAATATGAAATTCTTTGAGCTACAAAATATGAAAGATTAGATAGACCCAAATATGTAGTAGAAGCTCAAGGTAGTATGCAACATTAAAAATTATTGTAAAAACGTGAAAAAGTCTAAGCTATTGAAGTATTAGTTTACGGACTTAGATTGATGTAACAAGTAGAAGATTGGTGTTAGAGAGTAACACTTGGTCACCGTCTTAGAAGGTCTTGTATTACCAATGGTTATCCACATATTGCTTTTATCAATTCTATGTAGTAAAAAGATAATATCATGCGTCTTGTAAGGCCGTCGTAAATCATTGTATAAACTCTTTTATTACTAGATTATTGGTGTTGATGGGAAAATAGAGAATTTTTGGTGTAATCAGATGTTGATCAGTATTATGGAAGAATGGTGAATAATTGGTACTTGTTTGAATACTAATATTGTAGGCAGACTCCAAAGGCAACAAATATTCATCCTAGTCATTATGGTAAACTGTCACAAATGCCCATAGCATATGTTTTAAGGCCCAATTTTTATTATCTATTAACCATCTATTTAACAATGGAAGGTGATAGACATGACAAGTCATGTGCCTAGTAGCTTGAATAAGGCATGCTAGTAATTCTTTTTAAAGCATGTATCTTAATTTGAAACAATGAAATAAGGTAATTCATGGTGACAAAAGCCAATGTCAAAGAAAACTCATGCAATTGTTGAGGCATCAATATTAAAGTACACTTTAGCCAAATGAAGTTGCTTTAAGAATTGGTCTATAAAGACAACTTCCATTGTATGATTATGAGACGTTTGTGGCAAATACGTAATAAAATCTATAGTCATTTGTTCTTAATGTGCCATAAATAGTAGAATTGGTTGTGATAGCCTAGGAGATGTTGCATTGCATGCTTTGTTATATTAGCACGATTCACAAGAATATACAAAAGCTCAAACATTACAATCCAAACTTACCCAAAATCATATTCTTGAGATCTATTCTAGAGTCTTCTTATATCTTAGGTGTCTAGATATTGAAATTTTGTATTCTTCTTGAAGTATGTACGTCCTAAGTATAGCATTTTTAAGTAAATGAATTCACTTTTTGAAATAAAAGAAGCCATTATTGAGACAATTATCTTGATGTTGCATATTATCCACCTTCAGTCGATTGATAAC